GATGCATTGTTACCAGCTTCAATATCTTCAGCATATTCAGGAAAACTAGCATTTGAATATGGACTATTCCAAATCTCCTGAATTGATACAAATATCAATATCATCATGAAGTCTAATAGCCATTTCCCATCAAGAACACACACACATGGGTTATTAAGATCAAAGCATTCAACAGTCCATTGTGAATGATACTAAATCTTCTAAAACAAAATAATGCTAAACCATGCATGAAGAATTCCTTTATTGTTTTCAAGTCTGCCCCAATCTAGGTCAGCTCATTCACCCTCCAGGTCACCTTTTGTGTGAATATACTCTTTGTTCCTTAAGTCATCTTGCATAAGTCTACCATTATCTTGCTATATCTTCTCCCTCTTTCCTAACTCTTATTTGCCTACATTATTTGTGTCATTTTAATTTATATTTCTACTAATTTATTTCATAGTGCTATCAAACTGACATCATCATGATTGAAGTGTTATTATTATGATTAGCAGTAGCACAACTGAAATTGACACTTCTACTATTGCAGTTACATTATATCCACAAATATAAGTTCTTTTATACCCTTTGAGGCACAACTTTAAGCATAATTTACCTGATTATATACGAAGTATACAAAACTATGCAAATCACATACTCCCTACTCCCTACCATCATATACAATTTCATACAAGATAGTGATCACTAGCTTTAGTAGGACAACAAGACAATGAGTGATATCTTTATTTATGGAAAATTCAATTGATTTGATGCCACAACTGTCCCCTAGATCAGTAAGTTACAGCACAGAGATATCCACTTAATTAAGCAGCAGATAAATCCTCTAAAGAAAGAAGTAATTCATAGGCCAAATTGAACCCAAAATTTCAACTTCCAATTTTCTTATAAAAACTCAACCAACTTTCCTCAACATGCTACTATGTCAGCAATTCCAAAACGATATACATCCGTACACCTTAAAATTGAAAATCCTAGAGGACAAGGTACAGCATGGCCATAAGAATTTCTAATTTGATTGCATATAATTTCCTGACAATCCAACTCCAAAAGGAATTTATCACAGAATATCCACAATGTACACATCCTATGATCCTATTGCCCGAAATTCCACTCTCCCTCCCTAGAGAATTCTGTTTCAACGTCGCCTAAAATTCTTCTAATGATCATATATACTTCTACTTACTCCCTGATTTCAGTTCAAATTTTCAAAAATGATAACCTCCCAATTGCAGCATAATTCAGCCGGTAAATCTATCCTATGAATCTATTAGCAATTTCAACACTATACTTGCTGGACAAATAGCATAACACTTAATAAACCCAGCCAAATATAGCAATAATTGCTTCCTAAAACCCAATTTATAATTCAAAAAAACCATAACACAACAAAAATGAAGATTAATATCGACTAATTTATGGAAATGATCAAACAATTTAACAATTGCAACCGACAAAAACCGGCAAATGCAACGATTAGCAAACTTACAGGCAACACAACAAGCTTGGCACCCTTTTGAGCAGCATCCTCAATCGCCTTCTTAGCATGAGCAATATTCCTCTCTTTATCTGCTGTTACAGAAAGCTGACAAAGCCCAATTTTATACTGCCCACCAAAAATTTCACAGAAATTAGTAAACCCCATATATTAAAACAAAATACCCACTTCAAATTAACAACAATTAATCAGAAAAATGCCCCAAAAATTTCTAAAATTAGAAAAAGGTACGACCTTGGTGATTGGAGGAGTGGGCAATTGAAGAGCAGGAGGAACCCTAGCTTGTTCAGGCTTGAAAGAGGAAGACATTATTGTTGAAAAGCTTGAATTTCTGTGCTTTAATGGCGGCAGATTGCCTCTGATTGCTCTGTTGAAGATGGATGAAGAAGAGGAATGAAGAGGAGTTTTGGTTGATTGGAATTTGGAGAGAGAAATTGAGTAGGAATTGAGAAACTTAGTGTTGAATATTGTTCTTCCTACAATGTTCATTTCATTTGGTAATCTTTTGTTTAGTGATACCGAACTTGGTTGACGCTAGAAATTGGATACCCTCTTAAAAATTGAAACTTGACAATTTGACAGTCACGGTGGGAACTTATATGGTGAATCTTATAATCTGTTTTTGTTTAACTTGACTTCAATTGCCATCAATTACTCGCCCTATTAAAATTGTTGACGTATTAAATTAGAACTTTAAAATATGCATTACATGTATATAGATCTAGTAAATAGAATAAGCTTAGAAAATTCCGAAATTCTGAACCAATAGTTTTGATATACTGAAATGAGTTTTGTCGCATTCACAATTACTCGCACTTTTAGAAGAGTTGACGTACTAAATTAGAAATTTAAAATAGATCTAGTGAATAGAATAAGCTTAGAAAATTCCAAAACTCTGAACCAATAATTTCGATATAGTGAAATGAGTTTTGTCACATTCACAAATTGAAGTTTTTAGTTGCTACACTAATATGAGATTAATTAAGATAAGTTTAATTAAAATTAAGTAAAAAAAATACAATTAACATAGATTTTACATCAATTGAAATAATTTATACCAACTTTGCACTCTTATAATAGAAATAAAATTGACCATGACACATTAGATGATTTGTAGCATGGTCACTGAATTTTCTCATTACTAACTTTGTCTCATGAGAAAATACAAGTTTATCAGTCTCATAAACTTGGAATGCAAATCAAAGGGTATTAGGGTAATTTTGTGAAATTTGGGGAAACTTTGCATTCTTTTCACCCTTTTCTTCCTCTACCCTCCATTTCCAGAATACAAAACCACTTTCTTCCTCCACACCAACGCCACCATAGTTTAAGGCATTTCAAAATGCCGCCACAAATGAAAGGCTTTCCCTAAGGGATTGATATGACTCTAATTTACACTCTTTTCTAATAGGGTGTTTTTTTATTTCGCTGCGAAACGACCATTGTTGAGGAAGAAGAAGAAGAGGACGAAGATGTATGGGGAGATATGGAAAACGGGCTGACAGCGCATAAAAGGCCGATATCATATCCGGCTATGGATCCTCAACAACTACCGAACATATCGGCATCCATGCATAAGGCAGATATGTGGATTAGTGATCAGGCACGTGGCAACAACACTTTGACACATGACACAAGGTACTTTGCATGCCATGCAGCCACTTGTCATCTGGAAGGATTATAAATAGTCAATCTTAATCCCATAATCAAGGTAGCATTTATTACTCTCTCTCTCTCTCTACTTTCTCTCTCTACATAACTTCTTATCTCTTTCTTAAACACTTTCTAACTTTATCATTGGAGCGGTTTTCCCCAGATCACCCCGGGGTAAGCTAACCTCTGCTCTCTGTGTAGGTTCTCATCTGGACAATAGGAGCTTCACGGATCTTGGACTCGGACTTTCGGGTTATCGGATCCTAACCGAAACAGAAGGGGAGGCATTTTGTGGATTTGATCGAGGGAAAGCAGAGAGATGGTGGTGGTTTGCAGGCCCGTCCCTTAGGGAGGGCAATAGGTGCGCCAGGGCCCAACGGAAGGAGGCCCAAATTTACAATAAGCCAGATTTATTAAAAAAAGAAAATATCTTAATTAATGATACTACTACCTACGCATGCTTTTTCTCCAGTTTTCCATCGGTTCATATTCCCAATTCCCAAATCTCAAGTTTTCAACTTCCAATTCCTATATTCATTCCTAATTAATTTCTCGAAAATATTTTAATTTCCAAAGATTTATCAATTACGATTATTCAACTTCCCTTCCTAAATAATCTCTCCTCAGTCAAAATCAATTGATATCTTATTCCCGTTTTTTTTAAACCACATTAATACCCTAAAACTGCTCTAATTCAATAAGCAAATAGTCTTCTTCTTTAATTTTCAATGGATTTCGCCTCACATTATTCACCTATAAATAATCCTCCATCCAATTATTCTACATCTTTATTCAATTTTCTTACTCTTTGTTTTGATTTAAACACTTGTAATGGGTATTACAGTGGACGAAAATTATTGAAAACGTTTTTGAGGTCATTAATGTCACTTAACGGTTTAGCTATTTTATGTATTGAGAAAAATATGTTAGAGCATATAGATGTCAACAATATTATTGGTGATTTTGCATCTAGAAATGCTCGTGGGCCTGGGTGGTTGTGATGGGTTTTGGGTTGTGGTGGTTGTGATGGGTTTCTGGTTGTGGTGTATGTGGTGATGGTGGACTAGGAGGTGGCTAAGGGGTAGTAATATGATTTTCATTCCTTTCGAGTATTAATAATGATGCATATGACATTAGGTAATAAGGAAGGGGTGAGATTCGATCCAAGGATCTTCTGAAATTGGGAGGGAAGCTCTAACCAGTTAAGCTATCCCTCACTCTCATATTATATTTTTTTTTATGTATTAATGTTGTTATCAATTTTAACCAAATAAATAAAATTAAATCGTCGTTTTTATATATTTATTGATATTGTTAATAAATAAAAATAAAGTGGAGTAAATATTTCGATTAGATAAATTAATTTTATATTTATTGATATTGTTAATAAATAAAAATAAAGTGGAGTAAATATTTCGATTAGATAAATTAATTTTATATTTAATTTAACATTTGTATGAAAGCTATTAGGTACCTTTCGCATGTAAGAACGAGGTAGTTTATTTAGTTTGTAAAATGGCGGTTATTTACGAAGAGACACATACATTTCAACAGAAATAACTACCATCTCCCGCCATTCCCTACAAATATCTCACTCTCCTCCAATTTTCCTTTATTAATTGTTAATACATACTTCCATTTTTGTGCATGCCCTAAAATTTATCCACTACATCCGCATATACTCCTACAAACTTACACTCCAACAAACCATATGGATCCTTATAAGCATGAACCTAACCCGACGGACGGTCCCGAGCACTCGAACCCGCCTGTAGCACCTATTGATGATGATGGTGATGCCTTTTGGAGTATGATTGATTCTTGGGTGAACGACCCCGTACCGTTACAAGAAATGCCGTTTGTTCAAAGTGATGATCATCACCAAAGTGTTGGATTCGACGGCGGTGATTTGAGTATCCAGGGAATGCAACAAGGGGTTGGGATAGAGGATAATGCCCCTCAAGAACAACAACAACAACAAGAAGAAGAAGATCAATTGCCATTGCCATTGCAAGTAGTGGGGCCTATTGATCCTAATAATCATGATCCTTGTGCTTTTTGTCTTGTGCTTAGAATAATTAGGTTTACAAATGGTATTGATTTTTATTATTATTATTATTATTATTATTTATTTCATTTACTAAGTATTATTTTTTTAACACTATAAAAATGACATTTGTTTGTTGGCTTAATCTTTGATTTATTTATTAATTTTTTTTTTTCATGATCCATTTATATATTCATGTTAAACATCGTTCTTAAAAAGTGCTTTTTGCTTAGGGTAAGCAAGAGTTTGTAGAATTATATTCTGTTTATTAATTGATTATAAGTTTAGTTTCATTTATGAATGTCGTAGATGCCAAATAATTTTACATGTATTCAAATGGGTGTATATTGTAACTTTGAGGATGACGATATTATTGAAGAGATGTACATTATATTTTAATAAGTTATAGTAACACATTTTCTTTTGAGTAATTGTTACAAATTGTTGGTATTGATATTAAGGTATATTACAACTCCTCGGTCTTTTGTCAAAAAAAAAAAAAAAAAAGGAAACTCCTCAGTCAATTGTTTTTAATTTTTTTTAGTAAGAAAGAATACTGTAATTTAAATTCACGCGATAATTTTGCAATAAACTATATTAAGTTATTAGGTATGGTGGTAATTAAAATTTAGGTTTTTGTTGAATATGTTTATGTACTTTTGATTCTCTCTTTCTCATGTTATAATTTCTATCTTATTAATTAAATGTGGTAATTTCTTGTGTTACAAGGCACTTATACTACCAGGCTTGACATCCATGGGAATGTGGGTTCTATATATCATGCTTTTTACTTCAATGACGGGGTACCACTTTCTGGTGATCACATGGGAAATAATCAATTTCTTGAGTAAGTTAACAATTTAATCTCGATTATGTATGCAATATGTTAGTCACCCAAATTTTTATACTCGTATTTTTATTTTTTATTGCTGGTGGTTTTGAGGGGCTATTTTTATTGTTATACATGGTTTTGTGGTTAAATTTTAAACACACTTATTATTATTATTATATATTTGTCTTTCTTTTATACCATGTTATTAAATTTGGATTATGATGCTAATTATATTTATTTGTGCCTTCTGATTCAGTTTTAGCACGCGTTCCTTCGAGGACATAAGAGAGTATCTGAAAGGCTACATTGGCAATCATAGACAAAATGGATACATATTGTTGCAAGAACCTATTTCATTGTTTTATGAAGCCCTAAGCGTCGGCTTTGATTGGATTAATTTTGGAGGTCAGTGATTCGATTAATCATTTCTAATTACAACATTAAATAACACTCTCTCCTTTGTCGTACTAACTTTTCAACTTTGACTTTTAGTTTTACCAGTAGATACATGCATGTCGTTTACAATATTATCTTTAACTTTATACGTAGTAGTATATATACAATTAAAATTTATAGAAGTTGAACTCGAAGATGATAAAATATATATATCTAGACAAATTTGATTATGTACTACATTTTTTTTATATATAGGACATAGTAATATTTGTTTTATGTTATATAGTATTATTAATATTTTGTAAAAAATCATTAGTTGGCGGATCGTTCGTAGGAGGAGAGTCTTCTAACCCTTCAGGAATGGAGATGAATGATTCAGAAGAAGATAATCAACCATTGCCATTAATATACAGCAGGACTGAGCTTTCAATCCAGGTTGCATTAATCCTTTTTGCATTTTTTATTTTTTTTAACGTTATAATACGTACAATATATTGTGTCATCTTTATTACAAGTAACGTTTTTTAATTAAATTAATGATATAGCTTTATCTAATGTTTGTTCGAATGTTGTTTTTTTTTTGGATATGCTAAGGTAAACAGAGAGAACGTGTGAAGAATATGACACTTCAAGATTTTGCCATATACTTTGATAGGACTATAAATGATGCAAGTGTGGAATTACGCTTATGTGCCACTGTTATTAAAAAGAAACTTCGTTCTTTCGAGATTGATCGATGGCCTTATAGAAAGGTTAACCTCCGATATTTTAATTTTATGTTCAATTCATGTCCAATCACTAGGCGTATCATTTAGTTTTGAACACGTATCATTATAAATTTATATCAATCACACAAAAAGCTTTAAAACTTGAACGTTTTCTAATGCTTTCATCGATTATACTTACATTTTCTCGTATGCTATGTATTTTTTTTTTGTTCCGTTAATTGATGCAATATTAATGGTAGTGTTGTAGGTGAAAAGCTTACAAGGAAAGCTAACCAATTTAATAGGAAGAACAGGGGGTGAATACAATAGATTAATAAAAATGGGCCCTGAACGAGTTGAGACTGAGATTCAAAAGCTTCAGCAACGAATATCTGATATTCTTAGTGGGAGAAGGAAGCCTTAGAATACACTTTGTAGTGTAAATTGTGTAAATTGTACATAATATGATGAATTTATTTTGTTTATACATTATTTTTCTTGATAAGTAAGTAAATAAAGTGTATTAACATAATAAATATTTATTCGTTAAATAAAATAACATTATACTTGTATCTAAATTTTTGTTGACAAATTATATATATATTTTTTGTGCTCAATTAAATAATTTTATTTGACTGCATATAATTACCTAATCACATAATTTTAATTTATGTGTTCTCTAGCATATAAGATTTGATCAACTATTACCTAATCACATACTTCCTCCGTTTTCTTTTACTTGCAACACTTCCCTAAAAAGGGAATGTCACAATACTTAAACACACTATAAAAGGAAAGTTATTTTAGAGAAAAACTATATTATTTTCCTTATTTAAAGCACATGGTCCACTAAATTACACTCAAAACAACCACTCATCCCATTTAAAGTGTATTATTGTGTTGCATCTAAAAGAAAACGGAGGAAGTACATTCTAAAAAATCTCTCTGAGTAGGAAATTGGGGCTTAACTTGTATGGAGTAATTAAAGAAATTGTCAGTTATCTCTTGAATAGTTGTAGAGTTGATAATTTTAGTATATTATTATTTATGTTGTGATTGGGTATAAATTCTTAATTGAAACTGGTTTACACTAATTTATTGTGGTCCACTAATATTAGAGAAAACTAGGTTAGTACCGTGCGATACAAGATTTTAATAAAAAAAAAAATTACTTGTAAATGTATGTAATATAAATACTTTAAATAAAATATAAAGTATATGATATTAAATATTCTAATTAATTTCATAATTATAATAAAATTTTAAAAATGTTAGCATTCATTTTATATTCATTATAGAAATTTGAAGAATTAATAATAAGTGAAAATTTTAAACTCTACACTCTCTAATAAAATTTAGGAGATTGTTTTGTTAAATAAATCTATGTAGATTTTTCAAAAAAAAAAAAAAAAAAAATCTATGTAGAGGAAAAAAAGAGTTTGAATATGACCAATTAAATGTCAATTATTTTTATTCCATAGGAATAGAAATTGTGTATTCAATCAATTTAGTAAAGCTTTTTGAAAAATGTATAATTAATCAATCATTTCCAACGTTAGCTTTACCTTGAAAAATTATGTCAGTTGTAGTTTTGGAGGGATTTTTTATTTTTATTTTTTTTTTTTTTTACTTTTATAAGAAGCTGCCACGTGTATAGTTATGATATCACCAGTAAATCAAGGTCACTATGTTGAAATTATGAAATAAATCATAAAGGCCGCTATGTTCAGTTTAGAGTCATAACATCGTATTCAAATTTACAATAATATTAAACGTTATACAAGTTTTAATAAAGGTTACCATGTTAAAAATAAGGGTCACTATGTTCAATATAATATCAGGTTCGTGTGTATAAATCTCGGATCCATAATAATATTATTGTAGATCAGGTCTACGCAAGTTTTTCTGGTGATTGGGCTAACATTTTTAAGAATGGGGATTATACTTGGCAAAACTTTTATTGTATCTAGCGCACATTTAGTGCCATGGTCAGTATGTATGACGGTGTCCATTATGCCCATGCTAGGAGCAATTCTTTGAAGTTATGTTGTGTGTTGGACTAATTGGATGCTGGTGGAGTGGTGATTGGAATTACATTTGAAGTTATGTTATGTGTTAGACTAATTGAATGCTGATATAGTGGTGATTGGGACAACATTTGAAAAGGAAAACTCGTTTTTAATCCCTCACAACAACAGTTAGGAGGAAAATGAAACCTAACCGCCCGTAACTAACCCCCAAATCCGGAAATGTTGTGTGTTGTGTCGGGTCTTGGTAGTCCTTGTGCCGATCCTGCCTTTACTCAATCCCAACCTATCAGGCCATTAACTTAACGAATGGTAAACTGGCTGTTTATACAACTGCCAATCTGCCTTAATCAATTCACCAAATTGCACGATCGCCATTTTTGATTTTTTGAGCATTATTACAGCATTGAAAGAAACCAAATCTCATCTTCACAATTTCTTCCTTATTATTCCTAAAAATTACTGCAATTCCGAAGCTTACAACAATGGCTTCTAAGACTCTAACCAACCAATTTCTCTCCAGATATTCCTCTTCTTCTTCATTGGTGACCGCCATAACCAAAACCCTTCAAACCGTCAAACCCAATTTCCCCTTTATCCGTAAAAATGGACCTCTAAACATCCCAAATCTTTCCCAATTTTCCCCCTATTTAAACCCTAATTTAGTCGTCCAAGTAATCAACAATCAATCAAACCCTTATCATGCTCTCGTCTTCTTCGACTGGGCTTCTCGCCCAAATCCAAACCCCACTAAATACTCTCACAACTTTCATTGTTATGTCGCAATGGTTGATCTTCTTCTATCTCATCGTCTCTTTTCTGGTGCTACCCAGTTTCTGGAATCCCACAAAATGCTCTGCGATTTCATGATTGCGAAGATGATCAGAGCTTTTGGTGTTGAGAGCAATCTTCGAGGCGCCATTGATTGGTTTTATCGAGCTAAAATGGTGGAAAAGGATGGTAATTGTATAAAATCATTTAATAATTTGTTGGGTGTTTTGGTTAAAGCTAATCGGGTTAAAATGGCTGCCGCCATTTTTGATCAGGTTATTGCTGAGGGTGTGATTAAGGTTGATGTTATTACTTACACGACTATGATTCGAGGGTATTGTAAAATTGGAAGAATTGAGGATGCTCATAAGGTGTTTGATGAAATGCCTTGTAGACCGAATAATGTTGCTTTTGGGACTATGTTAAGTGGGTTTTGTAAGAAGGGTATGATGGTTGAGGCGAGACAAATTGTTGATAAGATGCTTATGAGTCAGGATTGTTTGCCGAATGTGGTTTCTTATACTACATTGATTGATGGGTATTGTAAGAAGGGTGAGATGGAGGCAGCGATGTCGTGTTTAGATGAGATGGTTAAGCTAGATATTGCGCCGAATTTGATCACTTATAACGCGATTGTTAATGGGTTTTGTTTGCTTGGTAAGGTTGATGAGGCTAAGAAAATGATGACTAAGATGAGGTTGGATGGTGTAAAGGATGATGTTGTCACGCATACGAGTTTGCTTAAGGGGTTTTGTGTTGCTGGGAGAATAGATGAGGCTGTTAAACATTTGAAGGATATGAGTTCCTTAGGTGTAAAACCTGATGTTGTAGCATATGGGGCACTTGTGAATGAGTATTGTAAGCTGGGAAAAGCAAATGACGGGATTGCTCTATTGAGGGAGATGGTAGCTAGAGGTACTTGTCCGAGTGTTAGTAGTTTCAATGCTGTCTTACAAGTTCTTGTAAATAGAGGAGAACTCAATGAAGCTGTACTTTTCTTGAAATGGATGCCTGAAATTGGTCTTGTTCCCAACTTCCTGTCGTATTATACTGTTATATCTAGTCTAAGTAAAACGGGGAGTAGTGTTCAACTAGTTGGGGAACTTGTAGATTGTATGCTTCGAGATGGTCATCAGCTTGATCATAAGACATACAGTTGCTTAATAACTATGTACTGTAAGACTGGTGAATTGGAGAAAGCAGCTCAAATTCTTAGTGATGCTATGAGGGACGGAAATGTGATTAATCTTGACACTTTTGCTGTGTTTGTGGAGGGATACTTTTTAAAGGGAAATAGCTCTGAAGCTGAGCAAGTTGCCCTAGAGTTGATCAAAAGATCTCCGGCCAATGTGACAGATGATTATCAAACAGTCTTAAACGAGCTGAAATGTAAATACTTAGATGCACCCAGTCTGTAACATTGTTTTGGGCTCAAACTGACTCATGATCACTTTGCTCGTGCCTACATAGGCAAGGAGAGTAAGAACTGTGCCGACTGTCTGCTATTGTTCGACTGTGCTATAACTTCTTGTTGGATGGTTGAGAAATACTAATGCCCTTAGCCGATTTTGCTTGAATGGAATGCAATTGCAGGGGTAGAGTAAATTTCTGTTCAAGACTAAAGAGCATACGAAAGGAAAGGCTGGGAGAAGAAAGTAGCAGTTGAGCAGATAAAGTCATTGTTGTTTCATCAGTTCTCAATCAAAATTTAACTAACACTATGCTCTAAAGCAGTAGAGTTGAGGATTTTGCTTTCTAACATTTCATCATTTGTTTGGACTTCCTAATAGTTTTATACAGAGTATGTGTTACCACTGTGATACACACTGATTATTAAATACTAAGTACTAGAATTTGTTTGTGTTTGCACCAGATACACTTACTGCTAAAAGTGTGCAGCAGACACTGGATAGAGTGGCACCTAAAATCGGGTCAAGTTCTAATTGAATGATATGACTAAGAATTGCATTTTTGTTTCAGCTATTAGCGATGGACGTTCATAATTAGAAATAGTATTAATCAAAAATCTATTGGTAATAGTCTAATAGTGACAGATTCTGTAAATTTCAGGTAGTTTATAAAGGATCTCAGTACTTTTGATGGGTTATGAAGATATCAGTCAATTTATAAATTTCAGAAAGGATTTATTCTGCAGTAAGTTGCAGTTTGGGAGCTCTCTCTTATGATCCTTCCTTTGTATTTGGCTATGGCAAACAGTTATCATGCTACTTTATCTGCTATTCAATATCAACATTTTGTAGTCTCATACCCCTTAGGGCTTTATCCCCTCCAAAAGAAGAAGGAAGTTCGCTTCTCCGTTTAACGCTTTCTAATTTAAATCAAGTCAATTTTTTTAAATATTCCAAATTAGTATACGTGACTAATCGACTATTAATTTCTGACAAAGGAGCACATACTTGAGGGCTTACGAGGAATTTGGTACAAGGAATAAAAATAAGAGGGATAAGAAATTAAGAAGGGAGTATAAAATAATTAAAATTAGTGTAGTTTCCTACAAATTTTCTGTACAGTAATTATTTTATACCACTTTTAGAAAAAATAAAAGGGGAAAGATTGGGTAAACAGTTTTTGCCCTATATTGACAATTTGGCATTGTCCATTAAGGACTCTATAACCTCGGTCCAAACACTAAAAATATTCTATAATAACTTATAAGTGCAAATTTGGAGATAACATTGATATGAACATGGACTTAAAGATTAAACTTACAAGTATATACTACGTATTTATATATCTTGAAGACAAATTGGTTGTTGCCTGTTGGTGTAATGGTGATGGGACTACACTTGGTAAGGAGGACTCGTGTTCGACCCCCTCCCCCCAACAATTGGGAGGGAACTGTAACCTAATTACTCAAAACTGATCCCCGAATCCGAATTAGTCCAAAGGGTGAACCGGGTAGAACACCAAATATATATTGAAGAGTCTCCCACAACATTCCTAATTCCTTCTATCAAGTTCAATATGCTCCGATAAAATATACTATAATACTTCCGTTTCACATTAATTGCAAACAAAACGGACATTTTTACAAGATATAAAAAATTTGTTTATTGCAATGACAATTGTGAAACGGATGAAGTACTATATATTTTCATATCATTCTTACTTCCTTCTATCCAAGTAACCAACTTTATTATTGATTTTCTATTAGTTTATCCTTACTTATCACTTTAGGTAATTATAATTTTTCTCCTAATTATCTTATTTGGTTGTCATCTATCGCTGTTGTACTCATCTGTCTTGACTGTATTCTTGGTACAGAATTGAAGTGGTGGTTTTGGCTCATTTGGGGAAGGGCTATTCTTGTGGACACTTCCTGAAGCCAATTCTTATATAATTGTAATTATAGGTAGTTTATTACAATTATTAATCAGATATTCGTTGATCTAGATATGGGACCATGCATTTAGCACAAAGTACATAAAAATCTTGTACTATAAATAATAATATTACAGAGTGATCAAATTTTTATTAGTGTTAAACTTCCTAATGTTGTTAGAGAAAACACTATCACATGATACGTGTTATATTCTTCTAATTTTAAACTTCTTCAATTTTTATTTATTTTTCAAAGAAATTAAATACATTGAAATTCATATACGGAGTAATAAATTACGGAGTACGGAGTAGTAACTAGCTCAACGCCTCAACTGTATTGATAATTTGTTCTTCCCACTAACAAAAAGTATTTCATAAATAATCTAAAATTTGTAATTAAAAAAATAATCCCTCCGTCCTACAATACATGAGACATTGAACTTTTTTCACTATTGATATATTAGCTTTTGATCATAATTTTTTACTAACATAATAAAAATATATTTTATTATTAAATATGTTATTAGATAGGTATAATTAATATAAAGTTTCATAATACTCCGTATAATTTTAAAAATAATTTCATTAATATTTAATTATGTGTATACTTGTATATATAGTGTAAAAATAAAGTTAAATTAGTACATTATAATATGTATAATGTTAACTGTGTCATATATTGTGGGAGAGACGGAATACAATTTTTACAAGACAAAGAAATGGGTTGGGCACTTGGGCCCATGGTTGTTCAATTGTACAGCATAGCTTGTTTTTTCCGTCGACCATTCTGTAAATTGCAACTTGCATAGTTTGTGGGACGTAAAACTATGACAAGTCGGTAGTCTCTCGGTACTTTGTTTTTCAAATTGTCACATATACTATACAGTATATTAGTATTATTCTTTGTATTATACTTCGTACTCCGTACTATTAGCAGTACCAATAACCATCAATTCAGTGTACTCCCTCATTTGGCAAATAGTTCATATTTCTTGATCATGTCATTGACCATTAATTTACAAATTACTCCAAGTATAATCATTAATTAGTAGGTAAATGTGGGTAAAAGTTATCTAGACCACTTGTGTTTCTTTCTTTCTCAAAATGATTAGTTATTTGGTTTAACTCAAATGTAAATTCATGCATGAGACATTTTTATATTATTGAAATGGAAAAATGGTCCAGAAAGTGAAAGTTATGGGAGAAACAGGGGCGTTCCCCGATCTGATTAGTTGTATGTGAATTTAAATGTCACCAGGTAAACAAATAGCCTAAATTAAAGAGGTTTTTTTTTTTATGATATTACAATGTCGTGCTTTTATTCGTTTTTTTTTAATTAATTAATTAATTAATTTATTGTTGTTTATATGTTTCTAACTATCATCAATGTGCTTTTACGATAATATTTATGCGTATATTAAATATCATGTTCTTTTGTTCTGTAAATGTGTGCTTTTATTGCAACAAAGTGCATGCAATTGGGTGTATATCCTGGTATAAGTCATTCATATTTTGTATAATCGTATTTGATAGAGTATAAATCATATTACTGTGCCTCAACCATCAACTTAAGCTTTTGGTTGAGTTGGTCCTTTAACATGGTATAAGAGCAAGCGTGACATAAAGGTCACGGGTTCGAATCTCATCCACGCCCTTCCTTTAAAGTGGAATTAATTCGCGCCGGGTATGAGAGGACCTGTGCTGCATCCACATATTCTTGGGCCTCAACCATCAGCTTCTACAACCAATGACATCTTGTAATTCCACTATATATCTGTTTTAATCTAAACATTGTAATGATTGTTAAGTTATTTCACATTAATTTGCACAACAATAATATTGAATAAATTAATTATACAATCAATACCCAAAAAAAAAAGGACAGAAATAGGCTCAAGTTGTCTAAAGTAAATTAAATAAAGATTACAATAAATTATCAAACCATATGTCACTTTATACTTCCTCCGTTACACATAATATGCAACAAACCTTGTTGCACGTTTTCCAAGACAAAATTTGTTAATAGGTGATTAACAAAGTAAAGACTTTGTGATTAATGGTAGGAGAGATAAAGGGGGAAAATTAATCAACCACCACTACCACCCACCAGCAGCAACATCCACCACGCCCACCACCCACATCTACCCACACCCCAAAACCACCACCACCTCATCCCGTTGTCAACATCTCACCACCACCAGTTCACCACCCCATCCAGTCTCATCACCATAACCACCCAAAATCCACTCCAGACAACTCGCATCAACCATGAAATTGCAAAATCCACCACCCGATCGAAATCGCGGAACCCCATCACTTGAGCGAAATTGCGAAAACCCACCACCTGAGCGAAATTGCGAAAACCCCACCACCACCCTCACCTATCTTACCCACCACGATCTTTCACAATCGATCCATCTTTCACCAAATTTGCTTTAGATTTGAGATTTCAAGCTTACTCAAATTCTCCTTTTTCCTAATCAATTACCCACCATGCACGATCCTTTTCTCTGAGCGACTTTGAGAAGGGTAGAAAAGGTGGTAGCGGCTCTGACGCGGAGAGGAGAAAACGGCGGCTCTGTTGAGGGGAGGAGAAAGTGGCGGTGAACTTCCCGGGAAAAGGGGCGGCGATCAAATAGAGTGGTGCGTGGTTGTGGTGTGGTGGGTGTGAGATCCAAAAGAAGAGAGAGAATAGTGGTGGCTGAGAGGGAGGAGAGAGACAACGTGGTGGTGGTGTTGGTGGTAGATGTGGTTGTGAGAGTAGAGAGAATGTGGGTTAGGCTTGAATAATGGATTAACTAATTTAGATTAATAGATTAATAACATGTGATTTGATGTGTTTATTAAAGCTAAATAAGGGTAAATTGGTAATTATGCATAAAAAAATTTACTAAAAGAGGAAAGTTTTAGTTTGTTGCACATAATATATAACATCCCTTTTTGGAAATTATTGCAGATAATACGCAACGGAGGAAGTAGATATCATTGTATATGCTGCATATATCGCGTGTATATAGAACTAGCTAGCTAGCTTAATATTCATTATTCAAAATTGTCACTAGGTTCTTGAATCTAAGGTACTAGTAATCGTAATAAATAAGTGGTCACTTTTATTATTATCTGAGAACGATTCTAACCCAATGTGATTTTTACGAGTTTTAATATAAATAAGATAAATTCTTCACAATTTAACTTTATATATGGGGATTAAATTGATTTTCACTAAAATTTACGGATTAAGATTGTGAATATTATTTGTAGAGTGGATAAGGGTTTAGCTATATTATATTTATTACATACCCTTTGCACCTGAAAATGTAATCCATGTAGAACATAAAAAATAAAATAATGTAATAAATAATTTTTTTATTTTTTTTATAAAAAAAAAAGCCTCCTTTTTCAGTCATAAGTACATGATTTATATCAAATTGGAGAATGTGGGCAAAAGGTATTTTAATGTCTGCTATGGAGTACTTCCTAAAGTTCCTAAGGATAAGGTGATCTTATGAAATTTTCTGAGGAAAATGCCCACTGTTTTTCTAGACAACTTATGACGAGCCAATGTATTTTATTTGGTGCCCCTAGATTTACACTGCACTAAACATAGTCTCATAATTACTCATGTATGTATAAATATTCGTCTAGATTAAAGACTGTTAATCTAAATCAAGGTTAATGTATTAGGATATAAATCATACTTGTAATGTAATTACTAATATAATGACTGATTGCTAAACTTTAATTAATATTCATATCATACTTTAATATCTTCAACTCAACATAAGATAAACTAAAAAGTTTATTTAAAGCTAAGATTAATAGATAGAGATGAGACAAGTAGGTTTTGATTAATTTTATGATATTATGGATACCAATAAGCTCTATTAAAAGTCCTGTCATTTTACATTAATATTTTGTACAGAACACTAGCTGCTGGCTAGCTGCCATGGTGTCCCTCCAATTTATCAAGAGTTGGAATAAAGAGCTCGTGTCTCTTTTACATGACCCAAAAATCCAACCAACTTGTACACTTCTTGACTCCTCATTCTCCAACCTTTTAGGCTTTAGAAAGTTCTGTATTTTCCTTCACAAAAATATGAGAAAATAAGACAAAATTAATTAAGATTGTGATTTTATTTTTTGGTGCTCATTGTAACATAATAATACATTGGTGAGAATTGGGATTAATTATCCTACATTGAAGTGATATGATATACATACTTTATTAATTTTCGCTGTCGCGTATATTATCTAATAATTTTGGGATATTTGCTAGGCTTGGAAATTACCCTTGGAAGTTTTAACTTACCCACTTGATATAGAGTATTCTTAATTTCTTATACAAGTATTCTATATTACAAATTCTAACTACATTTGTTGCCTCTTTCAAGTTTTAATAACATCCAAATTCCGATATTTTGAAAGTGGTTGATATGACAAACAATAATAGTCTATATAATTATTGCTCCATAAATTTTGTACGGAGTATTATTTGTCTCTATGGATAATGCTAATCGATGCACTTAAAGCTAAAGTAACACGTTAAAGGGTAATCATGATAAAATTAGGTGTACAATAGAAATTTAATTTTTTTTTTCGAACGGAGAAATTCAAATTCTCTTCATTGAGACTTGGATTATTTTTAATACAACAAAACATTAAATAGTACAGTACTACTTTAAGTGATGTGGTGAGATAATTTAGAATGAAGTACCCTTAATTCTTTGAAAAATATTATTAACTTATATTCCAAGTAAGTAATTATTGTATGTAAAAATAAAAAATAATAATAAAAAAATTTAATTATAAGTCAAAAGCTTCTATATAAAGCTTAAAATATCTATTCTTGAATCTTCTTGATAAAGATGGAAACCAATGACCATACCATGGTGGTCATGTGATACTTCCAAGTTCTCAGAAGTGCGCTGTTTAATGCTTAAGATAGAAAGATTATGTCTTATTAGTTTAACAATGTATCAATCTCAAAGCTCAAGTTGATGTATGTTAATCATATTACTAATTAAGTAATTAAAGATTAAAACAATGACAACATTGTCTTCTCCAATGCAGTGTAAATAATGACATTAGAAATATCAACTTGAATAGCTTATTAGTAGAAAACCTTATCCATATCTAATGTGCAACAAAGTGCATGCTAAGATAATGAAAAATAATTATAACAACAAAGATTATTACTTCAATTAACCAAAAGATGGATCACCTAATATGTACATTACACTAGAATATATACAATATTCCAAGCTTTGAGGTACACTTTTTATTCATTTCCTCTATTACAAGAAAAAGTAAAGCTTGGAAAAATCCTAATCTAATCAAACTAAAGTTAACTAGCTTGGTGTTTTGTTGATAATCTCTTGAGCAACTCATATGTAGTGACCATAGTAGCAGCAGACATAGACATTGAAGCCCATCTTGGACCCAACCCTCTATAACAAGCTGCAAACCCTCCTTCCTTGACCAAATCCCTAACCGTCTGCGCCACCGTAGGCGGCCGGGATCGGGTGTTTCGGTCCGCCTCCAAGACTTGCAACCTAGTCTTGATGGTGTCAAGGGGCATGGTAAACAATGCTGAAAACCCACTAGCTAATGCAGCACTTACACCTTGAACACCTACCATACACAAAGGGTTTGGGTCTAAAATCTTGCCATTTTCACAATTTTTCTCATCATTTTTCCACTTACATTTGTAACAACTAATTCCATCCCAAATTAATCTGTAAGAAACAGAGTAAGAACCCCACCAAACTGCACTAGAAGGTGCATATGTTAGAGCAGATATACCAAATCCTCTGTATAACCCTCTAAATCCATCAACACTTAAAATTTTTCTAAATGCATCAAACCCATTTGAGTAATTTGTAGTGGGTGAACATGAAAACCCATTTTTGGGAAAGTTTCCTTGAACCATGAGTCTTTGGCTCACAACATCAACTGGGGTCCAAACTAGTTGAGCAGCCATTGATGCACTTAAACCAGCTGCAGCATTAGCAATAGTAGCTGATGAAGTTTCAGAGAATCCAACTCTAATACTTGCTTTCCCAATATTACTCTTGGTCACTTCAAGGGCAGCCATGTATAAGGCTCGAGCCGGGATCGTACCCATTAGAGAGGTTCCAAATCCTCTGTAGAATGATCGAGGGCCTTCCTGTCTGAACATCAGGAAGGCCATCTTTGAACATGGTATCGGAGCTAGATTGACCTGTTGTCGGGTTTTTAACACGACAGCAGGGTACAGAGCCGCCGATACCCCTGAAAAAAGGGCGGCTCCTAAAACGAAGAACCTAGATTTGTCAAGCATGTGCCAATCTACATCAGCTGGCAAGCGGATTTCCCTAGATTCCTCTTCAACTGCTCCTAAACTCATCTTTGAAAATACCCCACTTAGCTCAATTCAAGTACAATAAGAATAAATCAAATCTCAATCTCACGATGCTTTAATTGAACAAATTTTGAATAAATCTGAACTGGGTATAGGAAAATTTTGTTTCTTTGAGGAAATTTATCAAACAATTGGTAGGCAATAAGATTAAACACTAAAAACACCCCAGAAAATCAAGAATCAAACAAGAAAAAAAAAATCTGATCCAAATTAATCTCATTTATTTAGATGAATGATATGCTAATTTGGGGATCTGAGTATTGAAGGTTGAATCTGAGGAGAGAGAAAGTGATGATTGAAGAAAGAAAGAAAGAAAGATGATAAGGAATTGGCGTCAGCTGAGAGCATGAAAGTGAGCTGAAAAAAGTGGCTTTCAAAGAAGGATTTTATAGAAAGTGGATAAATACGTGTAGGTTGATGTTTGGAAATACTTCACTACTCTGTAATTTTAAAATTAAAATTAAAATTAAAATTAAAATAAATCCAAAATTTGCCTGTGGAATGGGAAGACCTGTGGTACCAATTAGTGGTTTTTTAGTTCTCAATTATGAACCATTGGGCAGAGCAATTGGGTATTTAAATTAATAAATAAATGTTTTGGATTGTAACTATCACCATTATGTGCATTTAAAAAAAAAAAAAAATAATAATACTCCGTATAATAAACAAAGTTCCAGGAGAGTAATACTTCCTCCGTTTTTTTAATATTGCACAATTGCCTTTTAAGGAAGTTTCACAAATATTGCACTATATCCATTTTAAGAAAAGAATTATTTGTGTTCACACTATAAATACCTAATATACCCTTACTTTTCAACACTTACATTTTATTTTGTGTATACTATCACACGGGCAACTTTGTATTTCTACCTTTCTCTCTCATCCTTTTTTCCACTACCAAAAAAATTTGTGTCAATCTCTTATGGTGCAATAATAAAAGAACGGAGGAAGTATAATATTGTGAGTGTCTATATATATATATATATATAGTGAGTGGGTGAATAAATTATTTTAGCAAAAATAAGATGGGAATCATGAAAGAGAAAGTATGTGAGATATGATAGATATTTTTATTATTTTAGTGGGGACCATTGAAGAGAAAGAAATGATGAAATAAATTGAATAAGGTTTAAAGTAAGAGAGAGAAATGATAAAATATAGTATAAAGTTACCAAATATAAAAGTCATGCATTTAAAAAAAAAAACCAATAAGAAAGTGATGTAATTAAAAAAATGTAGGTTGTTTCATTTCTCTATGCGTGAAATTTTAGGAAAAGTTGAAGAAATTAATAAGATAGTGAGGTTGGTGAAAGAATAAAAAATTGTAAAAAAGCAAAAGTAGGGGAGGAAAATGGAGGAGAAAGAATATAAATTTAATAAAATATGATTTATGTTGATTTCTTAGTTGAGAGCAATTAAATAAATATTGTAAATGTTTTCTACATAAAGAAATAGAACAAGTATTTAAAAATGACTGAAAATAAAAAATGGAGGCTAAAGCAAGTATTTAAAAACAGAAGGAGTAATAGATTGCTTCCTATAAGGAGTGAATATACTGTACGTAAAATTCTTTGTCATAATTTACTTGCAATTGCTTTACAGTGGCAACTGCTGACATGGTACAACAACACAACTAAATATCGAGACTATAAGCACAAAATTATTGAAAGAAAACATGAAGTTAATATAATACAAAATCATCTTGAACAAGACATTTTTGATTTTTTTTTTTTTTTTTTTAGAAAGAAGGGAAAATCAATTAATTAGCAAATAAATCAATACAGCTTAGAATCAGAGTTTAGCCTTCCAGCTAGATAACCAAAACAACCTACTACATCCCACATATTCATACAAAAGCACAAACCTAAGATCCACACTCCACAGTTAACAAACTACACAGAGGAACACCACGAGCCAGGCCTAATAAACTGATCATTCAACACTTCGAAGCAGATCCCCTTCGTACACATCTCTAATGGTACAAGGAGGGTTGTCGAACAGCTTTCCCATTCCATCGATCGTTTCCTTTTCCACTGCAGTTTTTGCAAGCAAATGACAGCCTTTGGTGAGCATAGCTTTCATGTCTCTGAGTATTGCGACCAACTCACTCGTACCATACTTCCCAGCATCCTCAATAGTGCTTTTAAGTGAGCTCGCATCAGACTCAATGATCACCTTATCAAAGGATGCCTCAATAGCCATTTGCATCCCTCCCTTAATATATAGCTAGAAGCTCCACCTCCACTGGATTTCGAGCCTTTGTCTTCCATGCTTTTCCCATCATCCAGGAACCATCAGCATCTCGAATAATACTGCCTGCTCCCGCAACACCTTCACCCCTCCAACCCCGTCCGTGTTGGTGTTAACAAACCCCGGGGTTGGCCTTTTCAAGATGCTAGCAGCTGCACGGTAGCTGGAACCTTTTGCTTTCCCTGAAAGGTGTTAATATTTGCAACCAAGTCGACCATATATCTGTTAAACATGGAAATAGGGTGTGGCATAGCTAGCTGAAAAACAGTGGTGTTCCTAACTCTCCAAATGTGCCAAATAGCCACCGAGAAGATAGTTTTCCAATTTGCACTAAGAGACATTATATTTCATCCAACCCTCCCAGCCGAAGTTAAAAAAAGTATGATAATTAAAATTTTTATCCATCTTATTACCTCCATAAATTCTTGACCACAAGACTCTAGAATTAATACAATCTCTAAACAAGTGCAAGTGACTCTCATTACCCAAATTACACCTAGTGCAAATAGAATTAAAGTTACTAATATGGGCAATATTCCACATTAGCATATTGTACTTATAAGGGATTTGGAGGTGCCAAATAGATTTCCACTTGATGGAAGGGAATGAGGGGGGACTAGTAAAGTTGCAAGCAAGCCGGTAAGCACTACAGATTGAAAATTGGCCATTTGTTTTCCTTCCCCAACAAATTGAGTCATCTAAATCAACCATAGTGGGGAGAGGAACATTATCAATTAAAGCACATAAATAATCCGGTATAAAATTCCTAATTCTATTAGTGTTCCATTGTCCATTAGAGATAATGTGACTAACACTCCAATGAGCCATGGCATCCGGAATTGGGGTATCAATGAGGCAATAAATAGGTTTATCTCCCACCCAATGGTGCTACCATAGCTAACATCTCTACCATATTTTATCCTATAAGCAATCCCTCTTAATAGGAGTTCTTTACCCTTTATAATATCTTTCCAAAGGGGAGAGTCACTAGGATTAGTAATGGTGGAAGCAATTTAAGAAAGAGGATCTTTTGAAATATCTAGCTCTAAGAATTCTCAACCAAAGTTTATTCGGACTATGAATAATTTTCCAAGCTAGGCCATAAAAGCCAAGTTCCAAAGCCTAAGATTCCTCATACCAAGACCCCCTAAGCCCAAAGGAAGACACACCTTCTCCCAACTAGTTCTTGGAAGGTAATGAGATCTATCAACCTTATTCCACAAGAACCGCCTACAACTTTTCTCAAGATCATTAACAATAGATATAGGAAGAAGGGTGGTTTGCATGGCATATAAGGGGTACGAATAAGGAACCGACTTGATTAAAGTACACCTTGCGGCCATATTAAGGAGCTTTGCTTGCCACCCTTTTATCCTATTTTTTGTTTTAATTAATTAATAAGAGATCATTGTAATCGGATTTCCTAAGTCTATTATTAGGATTAATTTCGACCCCTAAGTATTTCCCAAAGGAAAGAGCCTCCTTAATATTAGACGCATCAAGGATGGCTAATTTAAGAGAAAGGCTCATTTTTGGTGGAAAAATAACCTTAGACTTAAATTGACTTATGTAGAGGCCGGACTTAGATCCAAAATCAAGAAGAGTATCCTTGATCACCTCAACATTGTCAATAGAAGCTTTAGCAAAAAGAAACACATTATCGGCATAAAATAGATGGGAGATGCTAACATCATCACCTATTTTAATGGGCTTCCAATTCCCTTCCAAACTTGATCCTCAATCATAAGGGAGAGTCTCTTAAGGCATAAAAAAAATAAGAGGATAACGGATTACCTTGTCTAATACCTCTCGAAGGAGTGAAACTCTCCGTAATTTGACCATTCCAAATAATGGAAATAGAAGGGGTAATGATACAACTAAGAATGAGATTAACAAGATTATTGGGAAACTCAAGACCAAACAAAGTTTCTCTAATAAAACCCCATTCCAAGGTATCATGTGCCATGGAAATGCCAATTTTAAAAGCCATGATGTGTTTCTTGCTAGATTTTTTAAATATATGAGCGACCTCTTTAATAACCAAGATGTTTTCATCAATCGTTCTTCCTTCTATAAAACTTGATTGGACAGGGTTGATGAGATCACCCAGTAGCGGTTTAATCTTATTAGACACAACTTTTGTAATAATTTTATAAATGGAGTTACAAAGGACAATAGGTCTAAAATCGGTTATACTAGTAGGATGATCAATCTTGGGAATTAGGGATATGTAAGAATTGTTAATACCACTAGGGATCTTTCCTTCCTTAAAACAATTAGAAACCAAACTGGTAATGGAAACACCTACCACTTCCCAAAAATTTTGGAAAAAAAAATAGGTTGAATTCCATCCGGACCGGGACATTTCATAGGGGCCATCATAAAAAGGGCATTTTTAACCTCCGAAGCATTGATATCACTAGCTGTTTGAATTAAAAGGGCCTGTGATTTGATTTAAATTTTGTTTCATTTCATTCATTGTTTGAATTATGATTTTGCTAATTGAGATTCACCGAAATATGTGTAGGAATGGGGGATTGTGAAGACAAGTGTAAGAGTGTTTTCTTTGTCTAATGTCCTCAAAGATAAAATGCTTGACCAAGGTGATCTTGATCTATGTACTGTTCATAAATATAGAGATTCATTAATGGAGATACTAAAGCAGATAATGCTTGATAAGGAGTTTGCTTTTAAGAGGCAGATATTAATTTTTATTCAATTTGCACAAAAATGGTGAACTATGATGCTTTCCTTAGTTATATTACTTATATATACTCAAGTTATGACAGCCAACATTTTTTTTATTTTTATTTTTATTATTTAAAAAAAAAAAATAGATTCATAAGTAGTAGAAATGTAGAATGTGGACGTCCTTTGTGTCCTACGTTTTTGTGCAGATATGAGAATTTACTCATCTTTTTAATTATTTTCCATGATTTTTCTTGAGCTTTACAGAGTACAAATAGCTAGGATGGAAGAATTGAAACGCGCATGTCAATTTTTTATAAAAAAATTTCCCTCCAAAACTAATAATGACATCATCATTTTTTTTAAAAATGGAAAATTTAATAACAACAAACAAACCTTTGCCCCATTCTCTCAAAATGGACTAACCTTTAAATCTTCCTAAAATAGACAAAAGTTTGCATTTTTTTC